TTAAATAAAAAGCCGACCAACGACTCTTTCCATCAAAGACCAGGGCCCTAGGTACCTTGATTGCCGGGCTGTGTCGGTCCTGACTTGCATAGCTCTGCCTTGGTTGATGCTGTCTGGCCCTTCCTAGGTTAGGAAACCTGTATTCGTCATCATCAACATGATCAAGCGCTGGCTCTATGCAAATCTCTGGTTCTCTGTTACTTGGGCGACCAGGCTTGGTAATAATCTGAGTGCGTCGTCTGACATCCCCTGCCCCATACTCTCGGTCACTGAGAAATTGCCCAGGATGTATATCTCTTCCTGGTTGGTTTTCGACCCTTCCTGACTGGGGAATTGTTTGAACATGTGTGGCCTGATATTTGTCAATGACAGAAATTAAATGATTTTGCTGTCTTGTTCGGTCATCTTGAATCCGAGATGCTGTTGCCTGTGCTGGCACGTTGGGTCGAACCCCACCATGGATATTCTGGTCTGGGGTTTGGACTCGGCTGCTTACCGGTACCTGTTGTGTCCGCTCTTGGCGTTCTGCCAATAATGACTGAATTAATGCATCTCTTTAACGCAACTCTTCCTCATATCGGAGTGCTGCGACTTGAGCAAACGCTGGCGGTGAGTATGGTGAGTACTGGTAAGGCGAGTACTGTGCCAGGATGTGCGGATATGTGTTGGGCATGCTGGTTGCAAGAGTGCTCGCAACTAGTGGTGGTGGCATACAATTGACTGTTGCAAGAGTGCTCGCAACTAGTGGTGGTATATGATGGGGTGTTGCAAGAGTGCTCGCAACACTGCCAACAGGTGGTGGTATATGAGTGGGTGTTGCAAGAGTACTCGCAACACCGCCAGCAGGTGGTGGTTGATGTACTGGGGTCATTAAACCCCCTAAACCCCCATACCCTGATGACATACCGGCCGCAGAATTTGGCCCCATGTTGGCTGAACTTGATATACCTGGTTGTAGAAGGCTTTGAGCCAGAGGCTGGCTATCCATTGTAGGGCTTCCTATTTCAGGGCTTCCAGGTGCAGAGAAATCAAAATAGTCAGCAAAGGAGGTGACTTTATGAATTTTTAAATTTAGAAATTCCTCCTTGGTGATTTCCCCATTATTCTCAATGTGTGCCATTATTAATTTTGCTGTGGAACGGCCGATGCCAGGCACTGTGACCAAATCTTGAATTTCACAAAAGTTAATGAAAATTTTGTCTTCTGCCATGATTTGATTTAATTTTGAAGTCCTAATTCACTTTATGAACAAGATGTTTTTATCGAAATCTATCGCAACACACAGCAGGTGTGGGATCCAAACTTCAAATTGTTGAGCAATATTGTATTTTGCAAAAAATATCGCAAAACTCAGCGAGTGTGTGATCCCAATCTCGACAACATTGACGATTCCTGTGTTGTCTTGTCACCACAGAATATTCAACAGATTTCAATTTTATTATACGATTAATCCACGATGAATAGGTATCACGGTGGACCAAAAGTGGTAATAAATCAATCTCACACAAAAAATTCGTTCAGAAAATACATATACATACAAACAATCGCTCGTATGCAAAGTATCACGGACGAGGGTAAAGGTCACGAGGTCAGAGGTTTTGTTGACGCTCGCAACAGACTGTCAAAAGTTCTCAAAATCTGCCAAACACGTTAATTCGCGTGGCACATGAATGAAAAATGTTTGAGACATACATATAATAACATATAGCATCAATAATTACAATATTTGCCGTACAAAAAATGGAAAATATCTTCCAATCGTACGACAAAATTTTCACTTCAGATCGGCAACGGTCAAAACAATCAAAATGGCGGCCCGTTCAAAAGCAGAAATCGTATTTTTGTTCGCAGCGCCACTGTAGTGATTTTACTTCCGCGAACAATATGGTGATTAACTGCCCTCATGGTTTCGCCAATTAATAGTGTGATCGTCCGGCACGATCTGCGTAGTGTTATTCTAAAATGCGGTCCGCGACTGTTAGCTCAGAACTAGGGATTTTACCTTTCTCGAAGCTTCGTTGCAGACGATCCCTTTTCCGGCAGCGCTCGGCCACGTGCACCTCGGCCTCGGCTGCCCGAACACTTCCGAGGGAAACCGAATGTCTCCGACGGAAGTAGAGATCGTCTCACACAACATTACCTTTTCCGGAGTTTTCGCCAAATCAGTTGGAACGGGATAATAATCCTCGAAAAAGGTTCCAGTCTTTTGATTCCGGGAGTTTGCCCACTCGCCAAAAGTGTTTTTCTTAGGTATCCGATGTTTCAGGCGTTCTGTCAATTCGTCGCCCGATATTGCTGGAGCAAAACGACCACTTTTACCTTGGTCATCGAGTAGATCTTCTCTCTGAAACACCAGAGATTGAGTAGGGATATCCAAAATATCTGCGAAGTCAAGATCGTACGTTATTATTTGGCTAAGGTCGTCTTCAACAGCTTCCATTTAATCGCGAATGGTCAACACGTCGTTACGCAAGAAATACTAGGATTTGAATGAAATTTGCATGACGTCACAGTCTGACGTCACAGTCTGACTTTAGGATTTCATAATGCACATGCGCTAAATTAGATGGTTCACAGGTTCTCAACGCCAAGGGATTTGCTCTCGCTCCGCTCAACCAAACGCTTGGTGTCTCGAACCCGTGAACCATCCATTACTTATTCGTCAAGACCAGTAAACTACAAAGTATGAAATTATAAGAATTGAACGTCAGTTTGGATGGGTTCATTGAAGTGTGAACGATTTAAAGCGCTGGTTAAACCTGTGAACCTCCGAACCATCCAAACTGACGTTCAATTCTTAAATGTGACCGACCTCTCGTCCAATGGAAAAGCCGTATATCGTGTAAACTTCAAATTAAAAAAGTATAGTAAAATAAACCTCAATTTTTTAAACAGAATTCTAGCTTTTTCGCTACAGCATTAAATGGCTGTTTTGCTATTTCAATAATGTCTTTGAATTTATGGAAAATAAGATAGGGTAGTTGTTTGTATAATTAATTATACATCAATATTAGATAAATCAAGTACGCTAAAACAAAAATAGGCGAAAGTACCAGAATTAATTTTAAGCTCCAAAAGGAAGAGCATACATGCTGCAGTTTTAAACATTCACAATTTATCATCAATCGGTAGAAAATATAGCATTTGACATGACATTTGTTTATTTCTCACATAAACAAGTTCAAACAGGCATGTGACGCACTATTTAAATTTCACACATAAAGAACAATCAACAAAAAATGTCATTGAAACCAATTGTATGGATCGATGTTCATGATGTCAGTCACTGGATTGTCTGGTCCAGACTCGATTATTTACAGACCGCCGTTATATAGCTGGACTATTGTTGAGTGCGGCGTTAAACAACAAACAAATAAACAGAAATAAATTATGTAAGTTTCAAGTCATATGTGGCTTATGGTATGATATTGGACAGTAAGATTTCCACAGTGTGGCGTATTTCACGAATTTGTTTTATATGATAGATGCAAATACTACATCACTATTTAAAACTGTAAACAGATGGATAGAATGATTATCATGATTATGTGTACTTAAACACACGACCTTCAAAATAACAAGTATGTATAACAATGTTGACATATATATCTAACTAAAAAAGCAGTGACCTTTCACAAAATGGCGTGGCAACTGACAGGATGTTCAGACGATAAGTTCAGGAATCGTACACACATAAACAAATAATGTTATTAGAATAGGTCTGACAATCTGCATTATGTTATTTGTGTTATTGGGTGATTTCCGCATTGTAATGCGAAACAAATCATGTTATTAGAATAGGTCTGACAATCTGCATCATGTTATTTGTGTTATTGGGTGATTTCCGCATTGTAAACGAAGGTGTCACGTGCCTGGAAGGAGCTTGGACTGTAACCAAGCTCCTTCCCAGCGTGTGACACCTTCGTTACACTCTAGGAAACATGGCGATAATATTAGAGAGCTCCGCGAACGGGATATCGCTGTGAGAAGCTTGCCACGAACGGGCAATCGCTGTGGGGAGCTGGGGGCTCAAGCTTCTTCCCAAGCTCCTTCCCAGCGCGTGACACCTTCGTTACACTCTCGGTAACATCGCGATAGTAGAGAGAGATGCGCGAACGGGCTATCGCTGTGAGGAGCTTGGCTTCTTCCCAGCGCGTGACAGCTTCGTTACACTCTCTGGGGGCTGATAAAGAAGGTGTCACGCGCTTGGAAGGAGCTTGTGTAACCAAGCTCCTCGCAGCGATAGCCCGTTCGCGGAGTTGTCATAGGTGGCCCCAACCATGATTTTCTGTTAGTCTGCAATCTCGAACCAACCTGATTATACAAACAACAAAGTAAATTCATCTGGAAAACATGGTCAGTCGTAAACCTTCTCAAACGAAGGTGTCACGCGCTGGGAAGGAGCTTGGTTACAACACAAGCTCCTTCCCAGCGCGTGACACCTTCGTTACACTCTCGGTAACATCGCTGCCACCAGTGTGGGCGCGGCCATTACAAGAATCTTGAAATTTGCCCTCTAACCCCAAATGTAGTAACGTTCATACTTTTGTTTATATCTTTTGGAATGCCATCATAGTGAAATTTGAAGAGGTTTACGACTGACCATGTTTTCCAGATGAATTTACTTTGTTGTTTTAATAATCAGATTGGTTCGAGATTGCAGACTAACGAGAAATCAACCAACTTCTCCCTTACATTCTTACTATATCAATAACACGATAGTTTTAATTTTACAGAAATTCAAATTGAAAAACGAAGAAAGTAATTTAGCAGCGATAAGTGTATTCGGCGTCAAGACAGTCGTCACTTGTTTGTAAACAACGGTCATTCGGTTGCGAGTTCAACTCCAAGCATGGTTGGGGTTACCTATCACATTCGGGAGTTTTGACTGATGGCAGCGATACTATGGAGAGCTCCGCGAATGGGCTGTCGCTGTGAGGAGCTTGTATTGTAACCAAGCTCCTCTCAGCGAGAGTCCGTTCGCGGAGCTCTCTATATACTATTAACGAAAGTGTAACGAAGGTGTCACGCGCTGGGAAGGAGCTTGTGTTGTAACTAGCCAAGGGAGGTAACTCTCAACATTTCAGAAGCGGATAGACTACGATATTGTACTTGTGAGCACTTTGGTTTATCTGCTGCCTCTAACAATTAGCACTACTGCTTATACTAATACCTACTGGCACACAATATTGGGTTTTATGTTTTTCATTGTAACCAGTAGACAGGGGGGAAATGCAGATACAGTCATCCCATCGCATGGATCAGTAACTTGGACCATTTCTGTTGAATTTACCAAATCATTGTAATTTATTAATTCCAATTCCCTAATTCTTGCAACGTTAATCTTCCAATGCCTATTCTCAATAATGTGAGCCAAAGAGTACCACGAAAAGACGAATTGATCTGTCGAAATTGCTACACAGTTGTTTTTTCCTTTGTTTAAAAAGTACGTTTTTATGAGCACTGTTCATTTTCACCCCTTTTGCTTTGCTTGATTTCATAAAGAACACTTATATATTCGTGACATAGACAGGTTGTCTTTTGATTCTAAAATATGTGAGGTATTCAGGGATGTAGATTTCTATGTGTTGCAGCTGAGTATGAAATTGTTGTGATGTAATCAAGGTAGTAGGCAGGAGTCTCATCACCAGCATGCGCAAACTGTGACTTTGTAAACACTGTCCAATATGGGTTCACTTTGATGTTTGTGTTTCTGTTTTTTTAACAAACATACTAAAGAATTCCATGGTTTGTAGCGTTGTTTCAGAAAGATTATCAGTTTCTCAGATACCCATGAGAAATATCTGTTATTTAGATTTCAATACGTACATGAAATAACACACTGTATTGTGATTTTGTAAATGTGAAGAATAGTGACATTTACAATGTAGCTGGTTTTCAGATGTCATTTAAATATCGTTTGCTTTGCCTAAAATGACTGGGGATGTTTCCAAGCTTTTATTACCACTTTTATATAAATCCGCAGATTGACCCTCTGACCACGTCTCTGTGGCAGCCTTTATGTCCTCGTCATCCTAGAAGCGTCTTCCACGTAGGGTAGATTTCATTTGCCGGAACAGGAAATAGTCACTGTGGGCTAAGTCTGGGCTGTAGGGTGGGTGATTTAACTGTTCGAATCCAAATTCACATATGGCGGCCTGTGCAATTCTCGACTTCTGAACCAGAGCATTATCATGCAAAAGTAGAATACCACGTGTTAACATCCCACGGTGTTTCTGGCGAATAGATTTTTGGAATTCTTTCATTACATTAGCACAATACTGTCCATTGATTGTAGTTTTTGGTGGCATGTAATCAATAAATAATAGATCTCTTGCATTCCAAAATATGGTGGCCATTGCCTTGCCAGCTGATGGTTGAGTGCGAAACTTCCTCGGAGGCGGAGAATTGGGATGCTTCCGTTGCATGGATTCCAATTTAGTTTCTGGGTCCCAGTGGTGGATCCATGTTTCATCACCTGTCACTAGACGAGAAAGAAATCCGGCTTCATCAGCAGTATAGAGATCCAGGAGGTCTCGACAACTTGTAGTTCTCTGATGGCGAACTTGAGCTCTGAGGTTTCTAGGTGTTGTGTTACGTTGACACTACTCCTTTGAGTACGATTTATTGACCGGAGTTACATGTGACAGCCAGCATGGCGTCCACTCGAGTCCCCACACAATTCGTGACGTCACCTGATGATGTAATACGCAAACATAGGGATCTAACTCTAACTAACCTAGACTGGGTTTTTACCCTGAACAGTGATAACGCTACATCCCCCTTTCCTTTGAGAACTTTCATTAATTAAAGTTCAGAGTCACCTTCAATTTGGCACAACGCCAATTAGAATAAAACATTTACGATTTAACTTTGGCATACTTGAATATGTCGATGATAGAAGTTTCTCTTCTGGACTGATTTGCTTTGCTGCTCTTTGTCCCTAAGTAGACAAGGGTCTGGTAGCTTAGGATTCAATAATTCTGGTAGCACTGGAACTTTTCTAAGGCGTCTTCCCATCAGAAGTTCAGCTGGGCTGTACCCATTCTGCAGTGGTGCAGTACGGTACGATAAGAGAGCCAGGTAAGGATCTTTCTCCTTCTTGAGCAATAATTTGACAGTTTTAACTGCTCTCTCAGCTTCCCCGTTGCTTTGGGGAAATGTAGGGTTACTTGTGACGTGGTCGAAACCAAACTTTCTTGAAAAGTCTTGGAATGTGGAACCAGAGAATTGTGATTCATTGTCTGACATCACTGTCTCAGGGATACCGTGTCTTGAGAAGATGGACTTTAAGTAGTTGACGACATCCACGCTTGTAGTTTGTGATTGCTTCGCTATTTCAATGCATCTGGAAAAGTAGTCTATGACTAGCAGATAGTTGGTTCTCTGTAACGTGGACAGATCCATTCCTACTTTTTGCCATGGACGGTCAGGTGGAATGGAAGGGATAAGAGGCTCAGGAGGATTCACTCTTTCGCATTGACGTGGGAATAACTAGTCTATTCCCTCTGAGCAAAAGTCCATTCTCTTGGCTGAAAGCGTAGTATGGCTTTATGGCTCCATTCAGTCTTGGTCTGTCAGGCCATCCTTCTTGGCAAAGTCTTTTAAGTTCTCTGCATACTTCGTCCTGTTCGAGTTCAGTGCGAAGTTCATCCAGACGTTTTTCTGACGCTGGCATATTTTGTATGACACTGTCGGACATACATATCTGTCTCTTGTCCCATTTCCTGTTCTGACTGCAAGACTTCAGACGTGATAGGTGCACAGGAGAGGGTGTCTGCGACTACAAGATTCTGTCCTGGAACATAGCTGACGGAGTAGTGGTGTCTCATTAATCTTATGCGAAATCTCTGAACTCTGGGAGGGAGCAAGTCAAGTTCTTTGGATCCAAGCAAAGACACTAATGGCTTATGGTCAGTCTCTATGGTGAACTGTAGTCCAATCAGATATGTTGAGAATTTCTCACATGCCCATGTCGTCGCTAAGGCTTCCTTCTCGACCTGTGCATACCTCTGTTCCGTTGTGGTCAGTGATCTAGATGCATAAGCAACTGGTCTCAAGTTTTTTCCATGTAGTTAAAAGAGTACTGCCCCCAGCCCCTAAGAAGATGCATCCACTGAAACTGTAGTAGCTTTTGATGTATCGTAGTGAGGTAGCACCTGTGTAGAGCTTATCTCTTTCTTCATATCTCTGAATGCGTCCTGTTGGGGTTTATCCCAACACCATGCTGAGTCTACTCTGAGAAGATCTCTAAATGGCTTGGACTCCCCTGCTAAATTTAGTGAGAATTTGCTCAGGATGTTGACCATTCCGAAGAAGCGTCGGACTGCTGAGATAGAGGTTGGTTCTGGCATGTTCCGTATGGCTTGGACCTTTTCTGGGTCGTCTCTGATTCCTGATTCATCAATGATGAAACAAAGGAACTTGATGCATGTTTGTGCAAATACACATTTGTCCAAGTTTATTGTCACTCCTGCTTTCTGTACCTTTTCTGGTACGTCTTTGAGTCAAGCATCATGCTCCTCAATTGTTTTGCCAGCAACTAATATGTCATCCATCTGTCATGGCACACCTTCAATTCCATCTAGGATTAGGGTCATTTGTCTTTGAAATAACTCTGGAGCCGATGATATTCCAAATGGAAGCCTGTTGAAACAATAGCGCCCAAAGGGTGTAATGAAGGTGGTTAGATGAGAAGATTCTTTAGCGAGGGGTATCTGGTAGAATCCAAAGCTTTGTAAAGTACTTTGCTCCTGCAAGTTGTCCCAGTGTCTGCTCGATTGACGGCAAGGGGTGATTCTCTCGGCGAACATTCTCGTTCAGTTTTGGAAGGTTTACACAAATCCTAACCTTATTTCCAGGCTTAGATATGACAACCATTCCTGCGCACCACTCTGTAGGCTCTGTAACTGGTGATATAACACCAAGACATTCCATTCTAGCAAGCTCCTCTTGGATCTACTTCCTAAGAGGCAGTCCAATTTTCCTTGGAGTAGACAAAGCAAGTGTATTCAATTGGATCTTATACGTGCGCTGAGTATTTCCCAATCCACTGAAAAGTTTTGGATACTGTTCCTTGTAAACATTCTGTTTCTTCAAGGAGACTGCATCAAGTCTAGCATCCTTAGTGATGATTTCCATGGCTTCTATTGCAGGCTTTCCAAGCAGGGGTACATGTAGTTCCGAGTCCTCAACTATGTAAACTTTTTGTGTGATCTGTTTGCCCTGCCATTTTAATGTGGTCATAAACTGTCCTCAAACCTTGAGTTTGTACTCGCCAACTCCTGAGAGCTTTCTATCAGGCGATTCATACTCAATGTCAGAATTACTTGCAATTTCTGCAAAGTTTTTCTCTGGTTTCAAGGTCACATCAGCGCCTGTGTCAATCTTGAATTTCACATAATGATTTTCATGTGCTGGTTGTGTGGTTTTCCTCTGCGGTTTTCCTCCTTCCTATAGTGTGGAAGTTAATTTAAGGTACCGACGTTTACTACAATATCTGAAAAACTATTGGACCTACTCCAGTCAAAGTTGGTATGAGATTATTAAACAGTCATACATAACTGGATATTACATTTAAAGACAATCGGTGCATGAATAAAAAATCTGTCTATTTAGCTATCACTATATTTCATCAACAACCAGACCTGTTTGTCACGGGTGGAACGAACATTCATTGTAACAGCCATCTGCATAATGCTACCCCTGCGTCACAGGGCCATATGACACAGTTGAACCAATCAACTCAACTCGGAAAGGTTGCATGGGAATCATGCACGTACGAATACGGTGTTAGCGTTGGGCGTCTCTAGCAGTTATTTAATTATATTTATCCAATTATTTTTGCATTCTTTTTCAGGTCAGTGTTATTGACTTGAATGTATCATTGATAACATGTTGGACACAGTTCAAATAAGAGGGCGGGGGTCTGTTCTGAAGAACCAGTTGGTAGTAGTCAGTTTTTTTGGCTTTCGTGGGCCGAGCAATGCGGTTGTTGTCCAAGCACTGACATATCTCACCTTTGGTAGAATTTGAGGTTGGACAACAGTTAATAGGATCTCGACAACTGTGATAGTGAGCATTGTCCATAACCACCAAGGATTTATCAGCCACTGCTAAGAGGAGCTGCTCCTCAACATACGCAGTGAAAACCTGACTATTCATCTCGTTAGGTAGTCTCTGCCATCTGTAGATCTGGATCTGAACACTAGATCACACCCAGGGAGGAAACCTCTGTTGGAGCCTGCATGGAGGACAATCAGGCGCTCCTCTTTACCAGGGGGGATCTTGCGCTGTGGCTCTCTGGTATCTGGGTGAGACCATTGGTAAGCCGCTGTGTGGCAGGTGTTAATCCAGGTTTCGTCCAAATATTCAGGCTCATAGCCTTCTTCTCGTTTCTTTTAATAGTGCACAAATAATTGATACGCAAACGAATGATGTCTGGTCGTTCACACATTGCTAGTTTCGACCCTTTCGTCTTTTTGTACTGATATCCAAATTTGGAAAGGAGTTAACAAATGGTCCATTTGGAAATATCAAAGTCTTGCTCTGTAAGGAGAATTTGTTTTAGTTTTCGTGTTGAAATAAATTCATTTTCTCGTGTTAACCGCCGAATCACGTCCCTGACAACTTTCTTATCAAAGGAATCTAACTTTAATTTCCTATCCTGTTTTGAGATGCCCCCTAAGGGATGTTCCGCGTAGCATGTGTTTTTATGAGAGTTCAAAATCTTAACTATGGTTTGTTATACATGAATTGTTCTTTTCATGTACTTTAAAATGTCAAAGAAAGGCGAACGTCTTTCACTTTCACAACGAAACCTTTCGCATCAGCGGAAAGATGCTTGCGCTGAGACATCATGAAATCTAATGCTAACACCGTATTTGTGCGTGCCTGATTCCCATGCAACCTTTCGAGTTGAGTTGATTGGTTCAACTGTGTCATATGGCCCTGTGACGCAGGGGTAGCATTATGCAGATGGCTGTTACAATGAATGCTCGTTCCATCCGTGACAAACAGGTCTGGTTGTTGATGAAATATAGTGATAGCTAAATAGACAGATTTTTTATTCATGCACTGATTGTCTTTAAATGTAATATCCAGTTATGTATGACTGTTTAATAATCTCATACCAACTTTGACTGGAGTAGGTCCAACAGTTTTTCAGATATTGTAGTAAACGTCGGTACCTTAAATTAACTTCTAGACTATAGTTAGGTCTTTGGGTTCCTTTCTGAAAACGCAATGAATGGGTTGGTCTCTGGTTGGAGAACTTGCCCTTTTGGACAACTGAATTAACTTTCCCTTCTGTGTTAGGATTTTGAAAGTTGTTTCACATGGCCTCCGGTTGTTTGTATACAGTTGGCGAGCCAGTGTGATTGCTTAATCCAGGGTGAGTGTGGAATCTAACTGCAACTTGGTTGAATGTTAAATATCACGTAGTCCTACAACCAGCCTGTCTCTGATCATCTATCTTTCACATTCTGGTAATTGCAGTGTTCAGCAAGTCCATAAAGTGCAGTGATAAAAGAATCAACTGATTCCCCCACATCTTGTTTGCAACTGTTAAATTTGGCTCTTTCAAATATAACATTCCGTTTCACAATGAAGAATCGATCAAACTTGCCCCAAACCGCATCATACTTTTTGGCATCATCATTTGACAAACAAAATGACATAAGTATTTCCTCTGCTTCAGATCCCATCGTATACACAAGTGTATTAATTTGCAGTTTCTCATCATCTGCGCTTAGTTTTGAAGAAATTCTGAATCTTTCAAAGCGTTTTCTCCACTGTTCCCACTTTCCTGGGTTATGAAAGTCAAACTGCTCAGGTGGTTGAATTTGGAATAATGCCATGCTTGTTCCGTAAGAAAATAAAGTTAAAAATTCTGTGTATACTGGTTTGAGTCTTCAGTTAAGCATTGCACCGCTGTTCACTCACCGATACTGTTTCTGTACTTCAGAATTACTCACTGTCTTTTCCCGCGGTTTCGAGGCACACATTCTTGTTTCCGTTTAGAATTCACAGGAGAAATCCCACCTATTTTGACCCCCGCTCATTGCACTCACAAAGATTCGAGTCGAGAACGTAGTTAGACACTTCTGACACCATGTTGTGTTATGTTGACACTAAGACTATGGTTCGTTTGAGTACGATTTATTGACCGGAGTTACATGTGACATCCAGCATGGCATCCACTCGAGTCCCCACACAATTCATGATGTCACCTGATGACGTAATACGTACACATAGGGGATCTAACTCTAACTAACCTGAACTGGGTTTTAACCCTGAACAGCGACAATGCTACACTAGGTACCCATCTTGCAGATACCTTGGACAAAGCAAGATGCTCAAGAATAATGGTAACAACAGTTCCAACTGATATTTGGAATTCCCTAGAAAGTTCAGATACTTTCGCTCATCGGTCAGACAAAATTCTTCTTTCAATAGCAGCAATGGTTTCCGGTTGGGTGGCATCTGAAGGCCTGCCAGTAGTATAGGTAATGGGGATTCTGGCTCACTTCCACTGAAGCCAGATTTATATACCTATACCACTACTACAGAGGGAATTTGTTATGCAAAAATGATGATGCAATTCAACGATCGTCATGAAATTTAACTAAATTGTAATGAAAATATTCTCTATTATTTTTACTCATACGTTTATTATTATTCTGAACAAAGAGATATTTAACATTTTTACTGAGTTCTTCGTTCATTTTACTAGGAGACCAGACTATATACTCTTCTTGGTAATTGGAAAGAAACAATTGATGTCTGTATTTGGTTGGTTTGACATCACTAATATAATATATACCCTGTGGTAATTCTCTCCATTTGATAATTTTGTCCCTGAGCATAAATGCTTCGATTGCATTTTCGAGTTCTTCCTTTGTTGGTTTGTAATTCTCCATTATTATATATTTATGTAAGCAATTGTCTAAATGTGATCCAACGATAGTAAGCAATCTATTTTTAATCTCCAACAAGTTCTTTGGTTTTGGCACGGAATAATTGACGCGCTTGTTGTCTCCCCTGTTCTATGAACTTTTTTTCTCGTCTTCGCTAATACCACTGGTCTTACGAGAATTTGATCGAATTTGCAACCTACGAGAAATAAATTTTATTGATATTCCTGCCAGTCCTGAGACTCCAGCGGCTATTTCCATACCAAGTACCAAGTACCAATTACGAAAGGCGTGGCGATTATAGTTGATAGTAAACCAACACTGGCTACACCAAGTCCCATGCCAGCTGTTACAAGTGCAGTGTCAGTTCCGTCGAGAGCATTCACAGCTCTGCGATACTTTTTATACAATCCAAGTCTAAACTCCCTCTCCTTCTCTATTCGATGTTTTATGTCGCTTATTTGATGTAATCGAAATCCATCAACAGTATCCATCTTTTCAGATGCTTCATCGAGCGCCGGATATAAACCCATAATGTATATTATTATATCATATAATAGTCTTTAATTGTCTTTCTTCAATGTTTTGAGAGTATACGTCAGCCTTATTAAATGTATGTTATACGGCATGAATATCTTAGTAAGAGAAATGCTGTCACTTTTAATAATTTGGACCCCCTCAAGGGTTGCAACGGGTGATGCTCCCATAAAAATAATACTGCAATGTTGACGTTGGTGTTCTTAAGCCATTTAATTGATAGACCTGGTAATATTTCGAAGGCATCTACCGGTACATCTCCGAACAAGACTTCAATAATAAGAGTAGAAAGATTAGGTATGGCATTCAAGTTCTGTTTTATATCATTGAATTCAGTAACCAAATTTAAACTAACATTTTTTTATGCCGGACGACTCTATAACATATGACCTGGGTTTTCTGGCAGGGGAGAGACTAACACACTTTTTCGTTTTGATGGGATCTAAGCCCTGAGTACGATCCAACTATTTATTATCTTAGTTAAATTAGTTGTGCCTTACTTATCATCACATACGGTGGGTTAATGACGATATTAAGTAGCCACTCGATTTTTACTTCGATCATAGTCCATTTATTATCATCGTTGCGAGTAAGATTATATGAAGTGTTTTTATTGAGTCTACTAATGTCGACATCGCTTAAATCTCTTAGATTAACTGGGAATGCAACTTCTTTCCGCTTTCCGCTTCTTTCCGTATAACTTGCCATTGATACCGGGTTTACCGAATCCTTCTGTGTCTCCGAGATCGGAAAGCGCAATTGTATTACATTGTCTAAGGTTATGCGTTCCAGGACCTAATGAATCAACCATTATATATAATATGGAGTGTTACACTCAAGTATCCTATATGCACAGGTTGATGTTTTACATCTAATACAGAAATTTTGAGGTCTGAAATAATACCCCGCTTTAATTTTTTATATTGTAATGATGAAAAAGATTCAGTTCTACCGCTTTTATATTTTTCTTCTTTGACTGGAATAGCTCTCAGCAGAGTAGAAGGACTATCGAGTTGAATATTATCCGTTGTACTGATCTGATCAAGATTGATGCACAACTCTTTATAGGGAACTAAATCGGGTTATTTAATTCCATGCAATGTTTTGTTGGTTGGTATTAATATTACTCTTCCTCCTACGTAGTTTACAAGTCCAAGTGTATATGCTAAGCTCCATCTAATAACTACTTCCTTTTCTGCAGCGTTAAAAATCATTATCAATTAGTATTATATCATTATTATCTCTCGCACTACTTATATTGGTCCACCGTGGGTAATACGCTACATCGCATAGGGCAACTTCAAGTTGACCAGCCGAGTTATCGATAGTATGAAGCAGTTGAATAGACTGGCCTTTTGTTATTCCCGGGAGTGTAACATCTATATTAAATATACAAAGATACTATATCATAACTTAAATATGCATGTCACAATATTCCTTTACTATTTATCGTAAACTTTGAATAGTCATGACCTATTGGGCTTTCTTTTAAGGCATCATAATAATCATTTACGGTTGATTGTAAAAGTTCATCGTTAAGATTCATAAAGCTGGTTTCAACAGTACCCTCTTTGATTATACTAGTATCAGTTAAGTTATCTAGATTGAAATCATCCATTTTTATATTAAACATAAGGTTACATAATTTCAATATAACAATGTCTTCGCAATACAGACGCAAGTTAAACCCTCAACGTAGACTTTGGGATCAAT